ATCAACATTTCCCAGAAAGCTGGAAATTCGTCGAGGAATTTCTATAAACTAGAAAATCCCCGGCGATTTTTCGGTTGATTTTCTATAAACTAGAAATTAATTCAAGATTACAGTGTAGAAAGAATTTTGCAGTAAACAACAACGCTTATCAGAGTAATTCGGAAATCGACCAGAACCATTTTTCGATGCAAGTAGTTTGATTCAATGATGCTACATTAATCCATAAAATAAATAGAACGTTTTGGAAAATAATTTTAACATAATTTAACCTTTAACTAGTGTAGAAAACACTGAAGCAACTGCACCAAAAAGAGTTGAGAAAAGAAGGAAACTATGCATTTAAAGATACTCTGTTAAACTTTAAAATATTGAATTCTTAGTGGAGTGTGTCCACCACGTACCATAAACCCACTGTAGACCGTTCGAAAATCTCCAGAATTAAGCTCATTTTTATCAATATTTTTCGTGCAGTTAAGCTTTTATGATGCAACTGAACTTTGCTTTGTGTATAACGGGCACTGATTCTTTTTTGTATATTTCATTTAAACTGAGAATAATAAAAGCACATATCTTCAATCGCACACGTGTCTATGGACACATAGAAGGCCTGTAGCAACAAATGTAAATGTTAAAACTTTGGTCAGAAAAGAGACATTTTACATTTAAAATGTTTCTTATATCAGCTGCGCCAAAACAGAATTCTATTCTGGTGCAGTTGATACAAGAAACCTTTTAAATGTAAAATGTCTCTTTTTTGACCAAAGTTTTAACATTTACATTTGTTGCTACAGGCCTGTTATACTATTTATGTTAGATACAGAATGTGGACTATCTATTTGTGTATACCAAATATAAATTCTCACTTTGAAATAAGAGAAAAAGAATTCTTTTGCATTCTTGCAATTCAAAAAAATGACTAACTGTGTCTGAACTTTAAAAACTGAATCCTTTATACGTACCATAAACCCACTGTAGACCGTTTCGAAAATCTCCAGAATTAACCTCATTTTTATCAATATTTTTCTCATCAAAATCCTACAGGAGTGATGTAAGGTTAGGATTGATACGATAGCTAATGTTTCATCGTCTGTGGTGGTGGTGCATCCTGTGTTGGGATAATAGATTACTCTTAATCATAATTTATTTAAGATTTAACAAACTCACCAAAGTACACAACGCTTGCAGTTAAGATAGTTGACGCACGGATCATCGAAAATGTTCGGAGAGTAATGAAAGAAATTGTAAGGTGAAAAGTTTAAAGTTTAAGAAACTATTGGAAGAGTAATCAAACCTGAAAGGATAAAGTTTAGTGTTAAAACTTGTTGTAAATTAATGGATAAGATTTCTGTGAACATAGAACTGTTAGACTCCTTTCTTGTTTGCAGGTGTAGTTTTTTTCTAATTTCCAACTAAGTGTTTTTTAATACCAAAAATAGTCGTTTTTGATCGATTTTCAAACTAATTTCACTAACACTGTTTTTCTGAAAAAGTTCTTCCTATCAAAATTGACAAAATCAAAGTTTAAGGAGGAAACTCAGCCAATTAATAGTCTATGCACCTGTGTGGAAAGATAAGTCTGTGCTAAAATAAGTTATATAACGTCTGCTTCAATTCAATCCAGCAAAAATAATTTGGGACTCAAGAGGTTAAATGACTAGATGTCTGATAACGTAAACACTACTGCCAGCAGTGGATAATCAATTTTGAACTTTATCGAACCATATACTTGTCTTACAATGCGTTTACAAGATGAAAAGGGATATTTTCAACTGACTTTTTTGTACCTTTTATGGAAAAAGACTGAATAGACAGCGAAAAGTATAGAATATATAAATAAAGATATTATATTGTGTGCATGTCTCTCATTGAACGATCGTTGTTTGAGATTATATAGAAATGAAGAACATAGGGCTTTGAAAATGTTAATAAAACCATGTTTTGCCCTTTTTCCAAAAGTTATTGGAATAAAGCTACAAACTAATCTGAAATGGCAGCTAGATGATTATGTAGATTAAACATTTCTCTACAAAATAAAACGTATGTTGGCCCTGAACGTTGATTCGTTTTGAAATACAGCTGTTGTACAAACAGCCCCCAAAATCGCTTTTTGGACTATCTGAAAAGCGTGTCTACAAAAGTGAAGACGAGCTGGTAAATATTGAAAATTGTTCGCTCTACAAGATGTGATAGCTTGTCAAGTTCGAAACTATTCTAATTAATCTGTATTAATCAAAGAAAAATCAGAAAAATGGTAACGTTGACACTTTTGACCGTTTTTTGTCACAGCGTTACCGTTTTCTACAAACTGGTATACTTGTTTAATGTTTACCAGCTTGTCTTCACTTTTCTAGACACACTTTTCAGATAGCCCAAAATTGCTTTTTGGGGCTGTTTGTACATCAGCTGCATTTTCATAGCGAATCAGCGTTCAAAGCCGAGACACTTTTTATTTTTTAGAGAAATGTTTAATCTACATAATCATCTAGTAGCCATTTCAGATTAGTTTGTGGCTTTACTGCAATAACTTTGGGAAAAGAGCAAAAAATGGAGGTCGTTAATTGGATAAGCCGTTTGATTTGTATACTGGAAAAGCAGCATAGTAATATGGAGACAAAGAAAGACTACACTGCGTATGCGCTTGAACTTTGTGTTTTCGATAGTCTTCCCAAAATGTGCACTAGAGCAAGGGGAGAATGAGAATAAGTTTGGCGTGAATAAGAATCATGAAAAAGAAATTACACATGTTCGTACACCGTCATCCGTTTCTCTTTTCTGTCTAGTTTTCTATCAATATAGGATTGGTATTTTTCATATTCTTGTCCTCGATCATAATAAACTAACTCTGTATAAGTTATTCATGATTAAATGACTCTCATCTGGTATTTTGTCTTCTGTAACCATCCAACATAACCTGTACCTAATATGAAAAGCTGATGCTTAGAAGTGTCCATCAATTAAGTACGAGAGTCTAAAACGACATTTTTGTGCCTACGTCATTTGTGTTCATCATAGAAGATTAACAGATAAATTTCTAAACAAAGCTAATCAATTAATTAATGAATTTAACTTGAATATTCAGTTTATTTTGGATGGTGCAGGTACATTAGATGGTAAAAATGATTGTTTAATTAATTTGTGGCGTCCATTAGTAATGACATATACATTTCCAAATGCACCATTAAAAGCATTTACTAGTAATACCATAGAAAATGGATATGATCGTTTAGCTATTAATAATATGCAAAGTCCAAAATTGGATATGTGTAAATTATTACATTATGGAAAATTTTCTCTAAATCAAAGTATTTATCCATATTTATATTGGGAACCAAGTGATCAACGTACAATATTATCGAGTATAATCAGTTATTTAAATGGTCTACGACATTCTCTAGGATTTCGATTTGCTATTAATATTGATCCTGTTCAATTTACTATATATTCAGCACAAGCGACAAATAATGCATGGAATATATTTACAGATCATACACAACATGCTCAAAAACCATTAATTATTGTCTTAAATTATGATAATAATACAAATTTATTAGCTATTCAATATTATGATGAAAGATTAAAACTTAACATGTATACAACTTATACATTTAAATATATACTCGATAATAAAATAGTTATAATGAATAAACCTACTCAATTACCATTATCAAATAATTTTAATACAATAGAATCGATTATAACTTTTAAACATATTAATATTCAGTTTGATATAAATAATTATTTACAACATTATCTATTTATAGTAACAGAAAATAATCAATTTATTATTTATAATATTACTACTATAGAAAATTGGTTTAATTTAACCCCATTAATTACAAAAAAATTTCCATTATCAAATATTAATCATAGTCAATTTTCTATAACTTCTACTTGGTCATCATCAAATGAACAACAACAATTAATTATGATATTACATACATACAATGATGTTCATAATGATTTTTTAGCCACAACATATATAATAGATCCGTTAAATGAATTTAATATTAAACAAATTTCAACAATTTTATTAATTAATAATAATATTATAAATGATACTAGTATATCTATAGCACCTTATGGATCATCAAATTCTATATGTCTAAAAGATTATTATCATACTCCAGCAATAATTAGTTATAGTCCTAAAGGCAATATAAAATTAATTACATTATGTTTGGAGTATACAGGTGAATTTTATGTACATAGTAGTACAAATATAAATAATTTATTATTAATAGGTGAACAACCAACGGTAAGTATTGAAATAGATCCTAATAGTTTCGAACTTCGTCTATTATTAATTGTTAGCAATGGTTATTGTTATAATAATGAATTAGTTAATAAACGTTCATCACCAGCAGTATGTAATAGTATACCTAATCAACAAGAACAAATATTAACATATACTTATGGTAATTTCAATCTATTAGCTAATTATACTAATACTACTATTACTGCATGTCAAAATGATATATTACATGGTACATTCGATATGGGTTCAAATCCAAATGGAGTTTTATTTCAAGCACTAAATTCAAATGGACAATTAACATTGGGTATGATTAATGTACATAGAGGATATAAAAAGGATTCGTATAGTAATCCAGTATTATTACCCATTCAGTCTCGATCATCAAGTCACATTTCTTCATTTAATAGAAAAGGTGCTTCTTTGTTATCTGAACAATGTGGACAAGCTCTTGAACATGATGGCTTAGTAATTGATGCATGGTCATTACCTAAGTATACTTCATTAACTGAAATTCAAGTCATAGCATAGTGCATGAACTAATTAATTACTTTATATTCTGTTTAAAACGCAATGACTTTTTGATAAATATGTCCGAACTTTGCCAATAAAAAGGTAAATTAAAGTCATCAAAATGAGATTCTGTGACGTATAGCACGAAATACTCGTGATGCAGAACTAATTCTTGCATACAGAAAATATTTCTTACACACTATTAAAGACGTTTTCATTAAGGCTCCCCCTCTCCCCAGATCAGAAATGCCGATTTTCGTCGATTTGAGAAAAGTACATGGTTGGATAGCCCAAGGTGTCTACTATCATGAATGCCATTTGGTCCTCATCGAAGGGGTATGGTTTTTGTTTTGTGAGCGCGTCCAGAAAATTTAATTTAAATCCGATTTAATATTATGCTGTTAAGAAGAAAGATGGAAATTTTGAGTTTTTCCCAAAAACTTGTTAGTACTTTTTTTGAAAACATTTTTTCTTAACGATGAAAAGTTTTCAAAGGCTAAAAACTTGGATTTATTAGGTAACGTATTTGTTGAAGGTTTTATTGATTTGCTGTAGCAAGCTCGATTTTCTGATAAAGTCACTCTTAAACATTGGTGATTGCACCTAGGGATGACAAAAATTCTGTCAGACGTAATGCAGCTGACACTTTCGGTAAAATAGGTGAACGTGCCGTTAAACCTGATTTGATGGAAGCATTCGTGACTGCAATTAAGAATGAGGAAAAGTCTGTCAGAAGTAATGCAGCTAAAGCTCTTGGTAAAATAGGTAAACGTGCAGTTAATCATGAAGTGATGAAAGTATTGGTGATTGCACTTTGGGATGAGGAAGATTCTGTCAGAATTGATGCAGCTGAAGCTCTCGGTAAGATGGCAGAAAGTGCGGATAAGCCTGTTCTGATCAAAGTATTGGTGATTGCACTTAGGGATGTGGTCGGAGCGGCGAAAGCTTTTGTGGCTGAAGCTCTTGGCAATATGGCTGAAAGTGCAGCTAACCATGAAGTGATGAAAACATTAGTGAGTGTACTTCTAAAGAGATGAGGAAGATATTGTCAGAAGCAGTGCAGCCATACACAGTGGGCAGCCAGGCGGACATTAAAGCGTTTTTTTCTAAAGTTTGAACAATGGAATGAATACATCAATATGTGCTCTATCTTTTCCCAAAACGGCAGATTTGTATCTAAAAAGGAACATTGAAAAACTCAAGCTAAAACAATTTGCCCAAAAAATGCTCCGATTCTAAAAGCACAAGCTACTTCAAGAAAATTATTTCATTGAAAAAACATCAAAAAAAATCTCCAATGTTTGAGCTATCTAATGGCAAAATTGGAATCAGTTCATCGAAGCATATATGAGACAAATATTTTCAACCGAAAAATTAGTTTTCATTCCTAAAACCGAGTTTCCAAAATCATTCAGGATTTTAGACCGTGCGCCCACCATCCCACCTTCAATTCGACTCAACCTTTGACCAGCGAGCCATCTATGTGTGATACGCCGAATGACATATGTAAAAAACCGCGGAAATCGATTTAAAACAGCAGCAGAAATAAACGCGAATTTTGTGTGGTTTTTGACGAGTATTTCGATGGGAATGCTTTTCAGTAAGAGCAGACCACTCGTTTTAAGGAAAAATGATGAAGTAGAAAAGACGCTTTTATCTCTAAAATCATACAATTGAACATAACTGGCGCCTCTTAACTGGTATTTGATTACTTTAGGGATGACAGAATATAGTTCGCTTATTAATTGAACAAACGACTCAAAAATTCACACTAGAGCAGATCGGTTAAGATTGCACTTCGAAGACTCGTATTGGTATGAGTATTATTTACTTTAACAACAACATGGTCAACACCAGAATTCTAAAAGAGAAATAGATCAAGATATTTATTTGTAGTTATTACAATTTTCGAACTGGTCTATCCAGAACTATCGGAAGAGAAATACTAGAGCTAGATACCAACATTAAGCCTCATTGAGTTATTTTGAAATCGGTCGAATTTTTAACAGATGAGCTGCCGTGAACCAGGCTTGCATCATAACCATAGGGCTTGAAATGAGAGTCTAAATTTTCACCAAGATCATTAATATATATGAGGAACAGCAACGGGTATGAGATCGAACTTTGAGGAACCCCACAGTTTATTGCCTTACTACTAGATGTAAAGCCATGTGCCGCCGTTCTGATCATTCTCTCTAGCATGCACTTAATCACTTCCTCACGCACACCTTTCTATGCTTGAGTATTTTTCACGTCAATTTTCTATAGATTAGAAAATACTTTCAGTTATAATATAGCGTAATATTTATTCGCTTATCGTGTTCAATAGAACATTTTTGTAACATATAAGGATTCTTTTTAAATAATAGTTGTAGAAGTTCAAGAATTCTGATCATATAAAAATCGAAAAACAATTTGGATATCTCGAATAAAAAACTAATTCTCCACACAGATGTCGTTAGTGTTACGACGATATATCACACATACTCAATATCCTGTGTACGTGATGGTAAATTCTGAGGAGATAGTAAAAGGGATTGTACTTTACTATCTTCAATAAAATGGTGTTTCACAGCAGATAGTCTTCCATTTATCATCAGTCCAAACATCGAGTGTTTTATGCCTGTTATACTGCCACGATGTAAATTATCAATCCCACGATGTACGTTAATGTCTGATGCTTTTTTTAATGACCATTCTTGATAATCACTGTTTTCATACGTTTCAATTCGCGGTTTTTTGAAATAACGTAATAATAAAGAGGATGTCACAACACTCACAGACGATAGAGCCATTGCCGCACTGGCCATCCAGGGCATTAATTGTATTCCAGCTGAAAGCAAAACACCTAGAACACAAATTATTATCGGAACCACATCGAGTTTAAAATTTCATCAAAAATTAAGAATCTTTTCAAGTGCGATAAAGTGCAAAATTAAAAAGAACATAACTCTCAAATTTTCTTCGCTAACGATAATAATATATTCGTCATTTCATGATCAAAAACATACGTTTATGCATCCCTATGATGGTAAAGTTAAGACTCTGATAGAAACACTTCATCAATTTGTAGAATACTATGATAACTTTTGCTTCTTTTCCACACTATTTTGGCAGTTCGCTACCTGCAGCTATGGGTATGCCAACTAAATTGTAGACAGCTGAAAACATAAGATTTAATCTAATACGCCACACTGTTTTCTTTGACAAGAATATTGCGCCAACAACATCAAATAAATCATCTCGGATAAGAACAATCGATGCTGCTTCAACAGCTACATCGGCACCCGTTCCAATGGCAATGCCAACATCTGATCGAGCTAATGCTGGTGAGTCATTGATACCATCACCAACCATTGCTACTTTATTATTTTTTGGCATTTGTTCTTTTAATTTAGCTATAAAACGTTCTTTATCTGCGGGTAATACTTCAGCAAATACATTTTTGATACCAACTTGTGCAGCAATAGCTCGAGCTGTTTTTACATTATCGCCAGTCAATAATACAGTATTTAAACCCATTGATTGTAATGCATAAATTGTGATTGGTGCTGATGGTTTTATTTCATCAGCAATTGCAATCATACCAACTAATTTATCTAAAAATCAAAATAGACAAAGCGTCAGACAGACAGATACGAAACAATCAGACATACAACATACCATCAACAGCAATTAAAATAGCTGTGTGACCATCTTGTTCATGTGCCACCATTGTTTTATCGACACCTTCATCAACTTCAAGCTTATTTCTCATCATCCATTTACGATTACCAATTAGCACATTATACGTTTTATCTAATATTGCAGGTGTCAGATCATCTATTCTATCATTCATTTTGTTCGTACGTTTGAGAAGAAAATCAATACCAGTAACTTTACAACTTAATCCATAACCCCAAATAGCTTTAAAATCTTGACATCGTCCTAATTGCTCTGTAGCAAAATATTCTTTGCAATAATTTCGAACAGCCAACCCAAGTGGGTGTTCACTACCACTCTCAGCTGTACCTTAAAAATCAGCGGTAATAGTGAAGGGCCTGGATTTATCTTTTACCTTTCCTCAACGCTTTCGGTAAGCACACACTTGCTTACCAGCAATAGCAATCATCGAATCGAGTGTCATATATTCATTTTGTATAAATATTCGTTTATCAATTACACTTGGTTTTCCTTTTGTTATTGTTCCTGTTTTATCGAAAACTATTGTTCGAATTTTCCTTGCTGTTTCTAAGGGTTCACCGCCTTTGATTAAAATCCCATTTCTTGCACCAACTCCTATAATGATAAGGTTTTAATCATTACTTTGAACATAGTTACTAACTAGTATGGATGCAAAAATGTAGACTTCATAACTCTTCATTCAAAGCATCATTCGTCGATCTCTGCACTGCTCGATGAAAGAATCTGCCTCGTGAATTCAAAAGATGGCATTTCATAAATTGTTCATTTTTTATATTCTTGTTCTTGAAGTTTTTCAGCTCTTACTCGACAAAAAATGTTTTCCTATCTCTAGAAAATACAGATTGTTAAATATCAAACAGAAGTATATTAGTCATTGACCTTTTCTCGTAGAGAAGCATCATCTTGTAACACAAAACTGAAGGTAAACTACCTGTCCCAACCATAACAGCTGTGGGTGTTGCTAATCCAAGGGCACAAGGACAAGCGATGCACAAAACGGTTATTGCATAACGAAAGGCTAACTCAAATACTATTTCGCTTTGACTAGCATGAATACCACTAAAATGACCGTACTAGAAGAAATAAAATCAAAATAATCTCAAAACTACTAATTCTTATGATAGTTCATACAGACGAATATTGCTTTATATTGTCATAGCTAGTGTAGCCAATAATGATATATATAATTAATGTTGTCAATGAAGTTAAAAGTATAACAGGAACAAATACTCCTGCTACTGTATCAGCGACCTCTTGGATTGGTGCTCGTGATGTTTGTGCATCTTCAATTAATTTTATGATATGTTTTAAAGCTGTTTCTTGTCCAACATGTGTTGCTTTCATTATTATTTGACCGTTTATATTTTTTGTACCACCAACCACCTTTTAAAGCAAAGTTTAAGTATTTTATTTCAAAAAAAATTAAAAGAAATAATGTACTTGATCTTCCACTGTTTTATCGACTGGCATCGATTCACCAGTTAGCATTGCTTCATCACACGTTGTTGTACCATCGATAATCGTACCATCCGTTGGAATTGTTTCACCTGGTTCAAAAGGAACGGAAAAGATTGCACATTATTCCTAGGTATAAAAAGATATATACCTGGTAAAACTTTTAATAAATCATTTCTTTGGATTAATTGTGAAAGAATTGATTTTTCCTCAACTATGGTTCCATTTGAATCCAGTTTTACTAATGTTCCTTTTGGTGCTTGAAGTGCTAATAACTTTTTTAAGGCTTCGGACGTTCTCCCCTAAAATTAAGTGTAGGAAAAAGTTAGTTGTACAATAATATCTGTATTTACTTTTGCTATATGTTCTAGCCATCTTCCTAACGAAACGAACATCAATAATACTAAAAGATATTTTATTGTATGTTATGACCCATCTTAGAGAGATGCATATCATATTCCTACTTGGTGGCACATCAAAAAACACTATTGGGCTAGGTAAATTTAACGATAAATTTACAATAACGACGATAATAGAATAAGCATAAGATATTGTTGTTGCTACAACAATTAAAACATCCATGTTGGCTGTTCGATGCTTCAAAGCTTTATAAGCTTGAATATAAAAATAACGCCCACTGATGATCTAAATTCGCCAAAATATATTAATTAACATCTAGGCTTCAAAATACGTTCAATACAGTCAATCAGCACTTTTTCTGTTACTCAGACAAATACTGAATCCTTATACATACTCAACGGTCTGGGTTACATAAGGAACTTTCCGCTTTAAATCTCTATAATCAAAATTCTTATTATAGTGATTATAATTATGAAAGTCTAAAACATATAGGTGTACGGTTTGGTGATAGAGTTAAGTTTCATTAAATAAATATAGACAAAAAAGTACGCTAACTTGTATGAAAGTTCATAAGTTACCCACGCACACGAAAAAAGTCGTTCGAGGGGTGCGGCGAGTACTCGAAGATAGGTCCTCCCCGAGGGCTCGACCCGTCGGAAAATGACACTTCAGACCCTCGATATAAGCTTTCGTGGGGTATAGATTTCGAGCCCTCGGATTTCAGATAGGTAGCGAGCCCTCGAGAAAAGTTTCGAGCCGTGTCACCCTCGAGCGCTCGGCAAAGGCCCATCGAAAGCATATTTCCGAGCACTCGAAATACCCCTCGAACAACTGGTTGGATAGTACCTGAACTGGAGTAGCTAATAAGAACAGCACTAAATTTCCAACGGACATGCGACTGTTTCCAATCATTGGATCATCACCGTGATCTTCATAGTAAAACGTAAAAACTAACATTATCACCATGGCTGGAATGCCAAAGATGGCAGCCAACAAAAAAGAATTTTTCCATCTAAAAGTATTGATATCATATCAAACGAAGTAATGGCTATGTGAATACATCGGTTTTTCTTACTGATGTGTTACTCGTCGATGCATTTTCTCTAAATTATCTGAATTTGAGTCTTGTGCTAAAACAGTTGCGGGAAAACCGAGATTCTACAGAAAACAAATGTTTTGAGAAATTACGAAGAAATATATGAGTTTAATAAGTTTACTTACATCAAGTTCTTCCAGAATATCTCTCGGTCCAATTAGGCTGGCATCAAATTTAATTCTTCCACGATTTGTTAATAAAGAAACATCTGTTGAAACAATTCCTTTGACTTTTGTCATGTTAGTTTGAATGGCGGATACACATGATGCACATGTCATTCCAGTAATCTATAACAGATAAATATAATTATATTTTTGAATCAGTCAGAGAGAGAGACTAAACAAGATATTACATTGACATCCATAATATCCATTCCACGTTCCACTGAATCAATAACTTTAGCTGTGAAGCCTAAATCTTGGATTAAGTTTGTTATTTGTGCTGGGAACAAATATTCTGGATCATATTTTACTTCAGCTTTTGCTGATAATAAAGCAACAAAAACAGAATGAATACCTATTAAACGAAAATTCCTATGATTAATTCAGTCAAAAAATAACAACCAGTATATTGTATACCTTCAACTTTTGATAAACTTTTTTGTATTTTGCTGACACAAGACGCACATGACATTCCAAGCACTTGAAAAAAACAGGTTTCAGTCTCAATTGCATCATTCTTATTTTGTTGATTGTCTACGTAGAGGAAAATATGGTCTCATTTATAAATATGTGGTAAAGTATTGAAAAAAAAATAATTACCTGTTGTTGTTAATTTTTTCTTTGGAATGGGTGATAGTTTACTTACTGGTGTTAACGTACTTTTCTGATGAACAATATCACCGTTACCTATGATATCAGGCTAGTTTTAATGATCATGTAGACGTAAAACAAAAATAGTTACTTGTATGATGATTTTGTTGTTGCTCTTGAATAGTTGTTGGTAATGATGATAATGATGTTGTCGATGGTGATATTAATTGTGTATCATAACCGCAATTATTTATTTCTGTTAATAAATCATCAGTACTTTTAATTTGTTTTGTATTATAATACTTAATTTTTATTTGATTACAGTCATTATCGTTTTCATTATAAACGAATTTAACATCAATAATATTTATTATAGATGATTTTAAACGCTCAATAGTATATAATTGATTTTCTTTTCGAACAACATTAATCAAAACATGTATAAAATAAACTGTTTCCATTGTTATTAATGTTGATTGAAACCTTAATAATAATTTTATTCTACATAAAATGATTCAACGAAACAAAAGTAATAAATTAACTTACTCATCAAATGTTAGTTGATCTATTAAATATTGTACATTTGGTATTTTGTGTTCATCATATTCAATTGTACATTCACCAATTTTAACATCTGATTGAATTATCCCATTTAATTCACTTAAGCGATTTTCTATATTCCATATACATGAATTACATGTCATACCTTTGAAAGAAAAAACAGAATAAGTAAATCCTTTAAAGATAAAGAAAAGAGATTCTTCACTTTCTTTCGTTAATGAATCGAATAAATATATGAGATTCTGATTAATATCGATAACATTAGAGAATAAATGATTTGAATAATTTAATTATTGTTGTCATATATATTGATGGAGAAGAGAAACCGTATTGTCAAAACTGTATTTATTTATGATATATACCTGTTATTTTAACCTTTGATTTTGAAAAATCATCTCAAGGTCGTGTATCTCTTCAAGCGTGTCTTCGATCTCAGAGTAAGTAAACCATGTTCAATAAATAAAATCGATTCTAATCTGCACTTTTTCAAGTGAAGCAATTTCGAATAGACTATCAATTTTTCGTGAAAACAGCTAAATATCGAAACTTTTTGTAAAACTGAGTTTCTACAGTTCTTTAATTTTTTTCGAAAAAAAACATTGCCACTAGGCTCAGCCTGATCGATTACCTCAATTCAGCCGGTGTGAAGGTTATGACAAGTGGCCATACATCAGTCTTATGTCCTCAGGGAAAGGCGATACCACGCTCAAGCCATGGAAACAAAGAATTCATTTCAAAGAAGACTTTTGGACTAACGAGGGAGGTCCACCAACTTATAAATCGTTTTCCAGTCAAAACCTAATTGACTACAGGTAATCAACCATGCTGAATCCGAATATCAGGGTTCCAGCTGCTTTTAGAATCCCATAGACACAGATTTTGAAAAACCGGTTTTCTATAGAAAAAAATTTTTTTCGTCAGAAAAGTTTTCTGATCTGTTCAGATTCTAGAGCACATCGAGTTGCCTATAGAGGCCTATCTTTTTCAATTTTTGAACCAATATTGAGGACACTACAATACTAAAAACTTTACATGTCTGAAAAGTTTTAGCCTTTTTTCGCATTTTTATCGCTGAATAGTTTCTTAATCTGTTTCTTTTGCATATGTCAGGTCAAAACTTAATATTTGAGATTATACAATGTTATATTTAATTGTTATTCTCAAAAGAAATATTAAGAAAACCGGCTGTATTCTCGAATAGAATTCTTGCTCATAGTTAAAAAGTAAGTGTTAAGTGGTGGTTTCAGTTACATTCGTTTTCTTTCTTGTTCTCTCTGTATGAATCATATGTTCTCTCTTGTATTCTCTAGTAGACTCCTTTTCCTATCATCGTGAATTCTTTCTCCTTTCGCACTCTTGTATATATATAACTTATATATTCGTTGATTGAAACATTAAAACAGTATATATGTATACCTGATGCGAACTCTTTCTCTGGCTCACAATTGGTAAGTGGTCGATAACCTTACATAAGATAGCTCTCGACATTTTTTGATCGAGCGATGTCTTCTGAAAATTCGATTTTCTAAACAAATTTCACTATATTTAGTTTAGATTTCAGATCCAATGAATCTTCAGAATATCGTTACTGTTTTAGCCGATTTAGTATAGTCAAATCTAAACTTACATTGTTCATCCCAAGTCACATCAAAAGAAAGAAAAATTGCACAACATATATATGAAACTTTAAAGTCTTTTGAGAATAGTACAAACTTTGATTATGAAGAAGAAACAACTTTAGATTTAGATATCACGCCAGATTATAGTAGCAGTGATGATGATAACAAAATTGCCGATGACAAAAGTGATGAAGTTGATGATGAATGGACGAATGAAGAAAATGAGAAAGATACATATCATTTAATTATTAATTATTAATTTCATACCATTTTCATGGTTAATTATCGAATAGTAAGCAATTAAAATTTTTAAGAAACGTTTAAAAGAAAATCTGACACTACATTCTTTCTCTTCCAGGTATGAAGGATTATATAAATAGGTGAGCATTAATGATACAGCACAACGTATTATAGTATCACGGTGAAGAAAAGGAAGAGATATAAACTTAAAACTGTAGTTACGTTTTCAGAATGTTTTCTAGTTATTAGATTTGTTTTGAATATTGAAGATGATTCTTTGTTTTGTAAGTTTTTGATTGTACAAAAAGCTGAACCAATAAAAAAACATTTAAGAAAATCGAATCTGGGTATACTAGTAAAGAACCAGGAGAATTCAGAATATTGAATAATTGTGTTTGACATACGCATCAGACAATTGTCAGGAAAACATTATATATATTCACACATATGAAAGAAGTTCTGCTCTTCGTCTCATTTTTATGTTATTTCTGTTTTTGTAAGTTTTTGTCTGTTTTCTGATATTTCTTCGTTTCGTTATAACAGTAACAGTAGCTGTTTTCTGTTCTTTTATGCTTTTGTAGCTTCAATAAAATCGATGAAACACCTTTCTGAAACGAAAAGTCCTGATAAAACTCAAGACGAACAGTCTTTTGCTAGTAGCTGATATTTAGAAAAGTCCACAAAATAGATTTCAAGATGTCAGAGCTATGCATGAACCACAGACACAAAGAGAGAACACGAAACAGAACAGGAAAAATACACAAAATCGTAAATCCTCTAAGCTCTCTTACAGGTGTCCTATAAGTCTGACATTTTTAAGATAAAGAGATTTACTAGCAAGAAAGCTTTATCTTTCAATACCTTTCCTTTATTAAGTTAAAAGGAAAATAACAGATAGTATAACGCCATAAATGCTAGAATAACTCGTTCTCTTTGGAACTAACGAGGGAACCTCTCGAGATGATAAAACGCTTTTTGATCGAAATCTAGTGGGTTATAGGTTATCGACCATATCGACCATGCTGATTCCGAATATGATTATGGGAGCTGCCCTTAAGCGTATGAAGATCCGGTTTTCTGGAAAACCAATCTTTCCGAAACCCTAAAAAGTAACCAAAACCTTTCTTAATGAAGCATGATTGTAGTCCGCAAATTTCTGATTAAAATGAGTTATCTCCCAGCTCTACATGATCTTTCTTTGCAAAGTTATAGAAATTACAAGAAAAGCCCTAAATGTTCATTGTCAGCTCAAAGCTATAATTTAGGGCTTTTCGTGTAAATTCTATAACTTTGCAAAGAAAGGTCGTGTAGAGCTGGGAGATATCTCATTTTAATCAGAAATTTGCGGTCTACAATCATGCTTCATTAAGAAAGATTTTGGTTATCTTTTAGAGTTTCTGAAAACCGGATCTTCGTACAGTTAAGGGCAGTTCCCATAATCATATTCGGAACCAGCATGGTCGATAACCTATAACCCACTAGATATCGATCAAAAAGCGTTTTATCATCTCGAAAGGTTCCCTCGCCAGCCGATTCATTTCTTTATTCATTTAAATTAATGTTTTATTTTCTATAAGCTATCAGACGGTGTTTAGATAAGAAACAATAGAGATATAGAACAAAGGTGAAGTTTAGGCTTCTAAAACCAGATTTGGGGAAAATTCTAGATAGATTGTACTAGGTTAACCTAGGTTAGGTTACGAAAAACATTGATAAGTTAAGTTTAGGTTACGAGTTTCATAGGTTAGATTAGGTTTAGGTTGTAAAAATTTTCATAGATTAGGTTATAGATTGTCAAAAAGTCGTAACCTGCAGGGTTCTAATCGACGGAAACTGACATTTAATTCTCCATTAATAGCCCGTTAACTATATACCAAAAAATGGTGTGTTAATTGTGTAAAAATAGAATGAAAACTGGCATTTAACAGCCGTTAAAATAACCTTTTTTTGACTTTATACTAATGATGACAACAATGCCATATTAAAGTCAATATCCGAAAATTTTTATTTTACGGATAATATTAAATGACATTTCCATTTATTTATCAGACTGTAAATTAATGGTAAATAAATGTGTCTGTTAAATATCCGTTTTGAGGCAATTTTTTCTCCATCGCAAAACGGCGAAAGACTAATCGAAAATTGGCATTTTAACAGCCAGTTTGGGGTCATCAAGCCATCCACCGCTTTATTCTGCCACCTTGACTAGTGTAAATGACACTAATTTTCCTAAAGAAATTTAGAATTTTTCTCTTCGTCAACTGTACGAGTCACAGAAATTTGCTTTGAGAAAGCAGTCGGTGATTCTGGGATTGTCCACAGGCTTCAGAAGATATTAATTGGAAAAAGTTTGGTAAGTGTTATTTTTGAGTGTACCAATTAAAAAAAGGTTATGTCTGGAAAATGTCGATAAAAGTGACAATTAATGTATGAAACTGAACTGAAAAACGGTTACCATTAAATGTCTGTTTTTAAACCGTCTTTTACCATTTATATAAATGTCACTTTAAGAAAGACTTCGCCAGTTGATCAAGTATCTTGCCAAAGACCGGTCACGAGTGAAAAATTGACATACCTTGTATTTCGTATTCGGACTCTACTATCAAAACTGGGGTTATGAAAAACTTTCTGACTTATTCTGGCTGAGTTATAGAATTTACAAAATGAGCACCATCGTCGATTTGCGAAAAGTAGTCATCTCTGATATTTGGACTATAACCCCGATTTTTTATCCGTTCTCTTTGAGCAACATCTCATTCGAAAGCCTGATAAAAGGTGAACAAAATCACATAGTTCCGAATTTTTCTGAAGTAGGAAGGGACTATTTAAAACCCACATCAATTGGAGAAGTGGGATTTGAAGGGTCAAAATTTTCGAGAAAACGCCACTTTCGACCCTCCAAACAGAATATCGCCAACAATTCGAAGGACACATGCGATAGAAAATTCAATTTTCCACAAACTGAGTGCAAAAGCTTTATTTTAAAAGTGGTGCAAAGTTCTAAAGCTTGG